GGGGGGGGGGTCTAGCGATCAAAGACCAATATGATATTGTGATGTGGAGCCCAACAATTAATGGCAGTGACATCAACAAATTCAGGGGAATGAATACGTGGTAACCCGTAATTAATTAACATTAAAATTTGGTCAGGATTTCAGAGGTGTACCCTCTGGCTCGGTGCTCTCCCCTCTCACATACATTGTCTGAAACGATGCTCCGTGCTGTCCATCGTGCTGTTTTATCATTTTTATTGGCCGTTGTCCACTGTGTAGTGTCATGTTATGTCCAATGTGCTGTGTGTAGTTTCATATGTCCAGTGTGCTGTCTCCAGTGTGTAGTGTCATATGTACAGTGTTCTGTGTGTAGTGTCTTCCAGTGTGTAGATCTAGTGTCATATTATCAGTGTGCTGTCGCCAGTGTGTAATGTCCTGTGTGCTGTCTCCAGTATGTAGTGTGCAGTGTGTTATAGCCAGTGTGTAGTGTCACATATCCAGTGTGCTGTCGCCAGTGTGTAGTGTCCAGTGTGCTGTCTCCAGTGTGTAGTGTGCAGTGTGTTATAGCCAGTGTGTAGTGTTATATTATGTCCAGTGTGCTGTCTCCAGTGCGTAGTGCCAATGTAGTATGTCCAGTGTGCTGTGTCCAGTGTGTAGTGTGCAACGTGTTATATCCAGTGTTCTATGTTCAGTGTGTAGTGTCCAGTGTGCTATATCCAGTGTATAGTGTCCAGTGTGCTATATCTACTGTGTCAGTGTCCAGTGTGCTGTATCCTGTGTGCTGTATCCAGTGTGCTATATCCAGTTTGCTATATCTACTGTGTCAGTGCCCAGTGTGCTATATATCTATCTACTGTGTCAGTGTCCAGTGTGCTATGTATCTATCTACTGTGTCAGTGTCCAGTATGCTGTCCTTGTCCCCAGGTATGGTCAAGTGACGTTCCTGTGTCAACTGTCCCACAACTCGGTCCTGGCTGTGTTCGACTCGCTGGGCACAGCCCGCCGCCTAATGCAGTGTGGGAGGGTGGGTCACGGCTGCTCTCCCCTTGTCTGTGACTGGTGGTGCCTGGACATGAACAGGTGTGTGTGTGTGTGTGTGTGTGTGTGTGTGTGTGTG